ATGGACTCCAACGATACATTTAAGGATCGTTTTATAGCCGCAGGAGACTACAACGCCAAACATACGCACTGGGGATCACGTCTAGTGACTCCCAAAGGAAGACAATTGTACAATGCAATTATAAATGTGAAAAATAAACTGGACTACGTTTCCCCTGGAAGTCCCACATACTGGCTCCCAGACCTTATTGATTTTGCAGTGACAAAAAACATACCTCGCAATCTAATAAGTGCCAAAGCAGTCTCGGACTTATCATCAGATCACTCGCCTGTGCTTCTAACGCTTCTTCAAAGCCCAGAAATAACCGAACACCCCTTCAGTCGGACGACGACAAAAACAAACTGGCTAAAATACAAAAAGTACGTGAGTGCCCACATAGAACTCGCCCCGGATTTTAACATGGAATCGGACATCGACTACACTACGAGCGCCCTGGAAGAAGTACTCGTTGCGGCAGCTAAAATCTCTTCTCCTCATAGGAAAGAAGTAGACCGAAACAAACACTTCAAATCTAATCAGCAAATCGAACAGCTCGTGCGAGAAAAGAGGCGCACGCGTCGTGATTGGCAAAACAGCAGATCACCAGCTTCAAAACAACGCCTTAAGGAAGCAACCCGATCACTCGACCAGGCTCTTCACCAACAGGAAGAAAATGCACAGCTGAGGTACATCCAGAATCTCTCGCCAACAAGCACAAAGTACCCCCTGTGGAGGGCCCACCCAAATCTTAGCGCCCCAATTGAAACGACCACCCCGATAAGAAACTCTTCGGGATGCTGGGCTCGCAGCGACGAAGACCGAGCTGAAACATTCGCCACACATCTCCAAAGTGTCTTCCAGCCAAACCCAGCCTCAAATTCATTCCTCCTGTCAGTAATTCAGCCAGAGTCCTCCCCTCAGCCAGCCGCACCTTCATTCCGGCCGAACGAAATCGAAAAAATCATAAGAGGGCTAAAACCAAAAAAGGTGGTGACCTACTGACGCCAAAGATGCTGATCGAACTTCCAAAATGCGTTATAGAGGTCATCTGCAAACTATTTAATGGGTTTGCATTAATTAATCTTATTAATCTTGACTTTTTCCCAAGAAATCCATCATCATTATGATACCAAGCCTGGAAAAGACCACACAATTCCGTCATCATACAGACCATAAGCCTTCTATCTTTTTTGTCTAAATTGTTTGAAAAATGCTTGTTAACTCGCATAATACCATATCTGAAAGCTTGCAATATTATCCCGGCACACCAATTTGGCTTCCGAAGAAACCACGGAACCATCGAACAAGTGAACAGATTAACATCCGAAATACGCTCAGCCTTCGAACAGCGAGAATACTGCAGTGCTATTTTCCTCGACGTATCTCAATCTTTCGACCAAGTTTGGCTCATTGGACTTATGCACAAAATTAAAACGTATTTGCCAACATACACCCACAAGCTTCTGGAATCATACCTTTACAATAGAGTATTCTCAGTGATATGCAAGGCAGGTACTTCGGGCGACTTCATTATCAAAGCTGGAGTTCCACAAGGAAGCGCACTCGGCCCGTGTCGATAGGTTTTGTAAGTATACTGCGGATATTCAACGTTCGCCGATGATACCGCTATCCTTAGTCGCTCCAGATGCCCAACGCAGGCAACAACCCAACTGGCTAATCATCTCACAATAGTGGAAAGGTGGCTGTCCGACTGGCGCATTAAAATAAACGAACAAAAGTGTAAACATATAACGTTTACTCTTAATAGACAAACATGCCCTCCGCTTTTACTAAACGGAATGCAGATCCCTCAAGTTAACGACGTAACGTACCTTGGCGTTCACCTTGATAGACGACTTACCTGGCGTAAGCACATCGAATGCAAAAAGATGAACCTAAAACTGAAAGCCAGCTGCCTCCACTGGACCATAAACTCACGATCGCCACTGTGCCTGGACTACAAGTTACTACTGTACAATTCAGTCCTAAAGCCAATCTGGACGTATGGCTCCCAGCTGTGGGGGAACGCGAGCAGCAGCAACATAGACATCATACAGCGCGCACAATCAAAAATCCTGAGAACTATCACAGGGGCACCTTGGTATGTTCGCAACGAAAACATCCACCGGGATCTGGGCATCCTCGCAGTGAAAGCCGAAATCCAGAAGCAAAAAGAGTCATACAAAGAAAAACTGTCTTCGCACCCAAATTCTCTCGCTCGGGGATTGACTCGGGTTTCTAGCGTATCCCGCCTTAGACGCAACGACCTCCCAACCCAGCAATCGATTTTTAGGGCCGTCTAACTCCGTATCAGTCAATATGACTGTTAGTTAAGTTAAAAATATAAGATTTGATACACCTCTTGTTAGTCTCGCAAAGAGAAGATTCAAGAAATAAAAGCAACGTTAAAAAAAAAAAAAAAACTCAAACAACAATATGTGGATTTCATGGATGATTATTTAAATCGAGGACATATGGAATTGATTCCGGCTGCTGCAGGCGGTGAGGATCCCGCACGGTACAACTATTTGGCACACCATGCAGTTTTTAAGCCAGATAGTACTACCACACGTTGCCGAGTGGTATTTGACGGCTCTGGAAAGGATTCCACGGGTCATTCTCTTAATTCGCGACTGCATATAGGACCGCCTATTCAAAGGGACTTAATTGGAGTATGCTTTCGATTTCGTCAGCATCGTTATGTATTTTGTGTAGACATCGAGAAGATGTTTAGAGGCATTTTGGTGTCGGACGAACATACACAGTACCAACGCACAGTGGTTGCTCCCATAGGCCAAAAATAAAAAAATTGATAACGAAAAAAATAATCGAAAAGTAAACAAATCGCCTCTAAAATGTCCAAGCTTCTTCATGACAACCCAGATTTGTCTAAAAATCGAACTGGATTTTCTAAAAAATGATTTGAAGATGCTCATTTGTAAAGCGCGGCTGCGCGCATCACGAATATTTCACAACTATACCGCACTTTGAAGTGGTCAGATCATTATTTACGTGTTCAAATTCAAATTATTTGTAATGGATTTTGAAGTTGAAGGTATTTTCTATAAAATGAGATATAATTTGATATATTTATAATAATTATTGTTATTATTATATTACTATGAACTAATGCATGTTTTTTTCCTATATTTTGAATGTATTTTTCATGTTTAGCTGAAGTTTTAGTAGTGATCCCACAAAATTCTACAATTCGTTTATATACCAATGTGTTTGTTGGTCTCCAAGGGTAACAAATGTGCAAAAATTTTTTGCCAAAATTTGCCTATGTGTCTAATATCGTAAAAATACTAACACCATCTTAACATGAAAGTTGGGTAATTTCCGTTTTTTCAGTTATATGGCAGCTATAGGATATAGTCGGCTGATCCTTATGAAATTTGGCATGTTGAATTATTTTCCCAAAAAGAGCATTCGTACCAAATCAGAATTCTCTAGCTTTAAAAACACCGAAGTTATATCATTTCCGATCAATCAGTTATATGGCAGCTATAAGATATAGTCGGCTGATCCTTATGAAATTTGGTAGGTCGTGTTATTTTGTCAAATATAGCATTTCCTACAAAAATTGAACTCTCTAACTGTAAAAACACCCAAGTTATAGCATTTTCGATCAATCAGTTATATGGCAGCTATATGATATAGTTGCCCGATCTGACTGATTTTAATATATTATTTTAGAATAAAAATATAAATATTTTGTGCCAATTTTCCAGTCCCTACCTCAACTAGAAGTATTTTTGGCCGCTCTCTTCATACAAGCCGGACCACTGTGCAACGCATAGTTTGGAGGAAGGATGAAAACGCTACGCTGGATCATTATCGACTGTTGACAGTAACATATGGATTAGCTTCATCGCCGGTTATTGCAGTTCGAGTTCTTAAACAGCTCTCGAATGACTATGCCGAATTGTATCCCACCGCTGCTGTCGTGCTCAACAGAGACGCGTACGTTGTTGATATTCCTACTGGATGCGACAACATCAAGGATCTCATTGCACTCAAAGATGAATTGATTCTGCTTCTTAGCGAAGCTCAATTCAAATTGCGAAAGTGGAGCTCAAACTGTTACGCCCTTTTAAAGTCGTTGCCAAAGGAGATTTGTGAGTATCCACCAGAGGATTTAGAGGAAGACCGCTCATTTCGATTTGTTAAAGTCCTGGGATTGTGTTGGGAACCAAAACCGGACTATATTTTCTTCAAATTAAAAACCCCCGCATTTACAACTGCTCTTACTAAACGCATATTGCTTTCAGAACTAGCCAAGATCTACGACCCGCTGGGTTTGCTTTCGCCAACTGTTGTTTTTCTGAAGATCCTATTTCAAGATAGTTGGCTAAGTTCTGTCGATTGGAATGAAGTACTACCGCAGCAATTATGTACACGATGGCAACAGTTTGTATCGGAAATGCATTTATTGGAAACTTGTCGAGTTCCTCGCTACATATCTGCACCACATCAAGAAATGGAACTGCACGGATTTGCTGATGCATCATCTCAAGCGTATGCTGCCGTCATCTATAGCCGCGTCGTAGTCAACAATAGTCAACAATGGATATGCTGTCAAACTGATTATGGCTAAAACTCGCGTAGCCCCTATTAAGCCTATCTCTATTCCGCGACTAGAGTTAAACGCAGCTCATTTACTCTCTAAACTAATTTTTCTGGTCAAGCAATCATTAACTGTTCCTATTTCCAGAATCAATTGTTGGTCAGACTCTGAAATAGTCCTGCATTGGCTATCTTCTCCGCCTAGGACTTGGAACACCTATGTTTGAAACCGCACTGCTGAAATTCTAGAGGTTTGCCCACGCAGCTGCTGGCAACATATTCGAAGTGGTGATAATCCCGCAGACTGCGCATCGCGAGGAGTACTGCCAAAGGACCTCGTGGATCATCAAATATGGTGGAATGGACCACCTTGGCTATCTCAATCATGTTCAGCTTGGCCACCTGTTAAAGCTAAGTTTGTTCTGTCGACAGAAGAAGAGACCTGCCTAGAGATGAAGGCTGAAACGAAAGTTAATCTACACATTTCCGACGACGGAAATTCGCTATCTTGTATGATCAACAAATCCTCCTCATGGTCCCGTTTATTAAGGATAGTCAGCTACTGCCTTCGCTTCGTTCATCGTCTTCGTGAGAGGAATCGACTTTCACCATTCCTATCGGCGTGGGAGCTACAATATGCACGAGCTAAGATCTTTACGCACGTTCAAGAGGAGTTCTTCAACGTGGAGTACAAGCAGTTAACTACCGGACAGCAATTGTCGAAGAAGTCGAAGTTGATTCGCTACACACCCTTTTTAGACGAGCAGAGAGTAATGCGTGTTGGTGGTCGCATCGATAATTCTATAGCTACTTATGACGCAAAGCATCCCATTCTCCTTCCTAAGGAATCTCCAATAGCTGGTCTGCTAGTTCGCTATCAACATGCTGCATTGTTACACGCTGGAGTCGAATACACGTTTCATAGTCTACGCCAAAGATATTGGATTCTAGGAGCTCGGAACCTCGTCCGCAAAACTGTATTCAATTGCAGAACTTGCTTTCTGCAGCGAAGACACACGAGTTCTCAACTTATGGCTGATTTACCGGAGTTTCGAGTTCAACCCGCCCGTTGTTTCCTGCACACTGGATTGGATTATGCTGGACCTGTGTCAATCAAAACATCGACAGGCCGGACACCAAGATTTGGCAAAGCTTGGTTTGCGATCTTTGTCTGCCTATCTACAAAAGCGATTCACATAGAATTGGTCAGCGATTTGACGACATCCGCCTTTATAGCCGCTTTCAAACGCTTTTGGTCTCGACGTGGACCTATATCGGATTTATACTCGGACAATGGAACGACTTTCCATGGAGCCAAAAGAGATTTAGCTGAAATGCAACGAATGGCAATAGCTCAAAGTCAAGATGAAGAAATTTCAAGCTTCATGGCCAGCCACGAGATTAATTGGCATTTCATTCCGCCATCTGCTCCCCATTTCGGAGGCATTTGGGAGACTGGTGTGAGATCCATAAAGCTGCACTTAAAACGAGTCATTGGCAGCAGTGCCTTGACATTCGAGGAGTATTCGAGCCTGTTAATTCAGATTGAAGGGCTTCTGAACTCTCGCCGTTTATGCACACCTAGCGATCACAGTCTTAACCCGCTAACTCCTTCTCATTTTCTAACAGGTCAGCCTCTCACTTCGGTACCAGAACCATCTTTCCTGGATGTAAACATCAACAGACTGCAGCGCTGGAGACAACTACAGGCCAAGGTTCAAGGTTTCTGGAAACGTTGGAATCTCGAGTATTTCAGCACGCTTCAACCTCGCACGAAATGGCATCAAGATGCTCCAAATGTTGCCGTGGGCACACTGGTTGTGCTGAAGGAGCCCAATCAACCGTCAAGCAAGTGGATGCTAGGACGAGTCACCGAAGTTCATCCTGGCCAGGATCAGAGGGTCCGGGTGGTCACCGTTAAAACCGCCAAGGGAATCTACAAGCGCCCTATTACGAAAATTGCTGTGCTTCCTTTGAACTGAACCGTCGTTCAGGGGGGCCGGTATGTTGAGAAATAGTTCGTCTTTATCTTGCATTTAAATAGTATTACATTTGCTTCTTTACTTGTTAATTAATTTCTTATTATCGTACCTATTTTTTCGCACATCATTGTCTTGTTTACCATTTGGAAGCTTTAAGCTCACACGCATAGCCGAAATTGCAGTGCAATGCGTTAGTATTAGAACATCACGCGATCGTTTTTCAGTTCTTTTTCTGCACGTTTTGCTAGTCGGCCGCATTCTCTTGTTGACATTAACCGCAACCGCTCGCTGATAGCAACCCCGCTTAAAACCATTGTAAACCCGCTAAATAGTGAAAATAAATGCATAAAACTATAATAAAAACCATAATACAGTCCACTATTCATAAAAAATCATCAACAGAATTTTCTTTCCCGGACGATGACCACATATTTTTAGAAATAAATAACGGAAATGATAATTATATGAGTTTAATGGATGAGGAATTTGATAAAATTTTAATTGATTGGCTTAGAAATAATGAATAAATAAAAGACTATATTACCATATTTCATTATTATATAATTATTTTTATATCATGAAAAATAAAAATTTTTTCAAAAAAAAAATTACTTTTGGACTTATTATTTTGGATTTATTTTTATCAAGGTTTAGTTCAAATTTATTCGAAATTAAATGAAAAACAATATTTGAAATTTAAAAGAAATATTTTGAAGTTCGTGTTAAGTTAATTATTTCCATTAATATCGTTGGATGATCCATTAAGAAATGGTTGTATAATTCACTTCGGAGCCAGTACGTTTTCACTTCAGGACAGAAGTAGCAATTATAGTATGAGGATCGTGCTTTTGTTTTGCTGAAGTTGTGTTATTTTAGAATGTGACGTTTTAATCCATAGCGATATTTAAAGGAAGGACTTTCTATACAGAGTTCACAAACGAAAGTTTTCATTTTGAAAATTTGAAAATTAACTGATCAAAATCAAACCTAGAACTTATTTTATATATTTTTTAAGAGTGAGTCTATGCTATTGTTTATAATTTACATACACATTTTAAAATGAAATAACCATACAGCCATCTCTTTCATTCCTAATAAAAAGTATATATATTACTTCTATATATATATATATATATATACTTATATAGATACATGTATGTATATATATATGTATAAAAATATATATATATATGGATATATGTATGTAGTGGACTTTTTAATTACATTAAGCCCCTTTTTCTGTCAGGGATAAATGCACTTAAAAATCAAGCTGCTGAAACCAGAAAGGCTGTTATAAATGATTTGGGTCAAAAACCTCTACGAAATATCATTCAAGAACAAAGTAAAATCGCATTACATAATCTATCTGACAAAGCAATTCATAAAATTACTAAATTACAAAGTGGTAAAGGAAAAGGCATAAAAAGAGGAGACCAAGAAAAATCGCAATCATTTAACAACTAAACAACGTCGTAAACATACGCGTTCAAAAAGTCAAGAAAAAATCATCTAAAAAATTTAAAGTTAGTGACATATTTTCCAAATCAAAATGAGTAATCACATTGAATGCATGAAAAGCGAATTGGATCTTTTTGAGCCTCATCCAACGCAAAGCTGTATTTTGAAAACCGAAGAAGTTTCATACAACCCTATTGCTTCTTTGGATAGTGCTTCGTCAATTGAATTCGTTTGTTTAGGAAATGGAGAAACCTACAGAGATCTTTCAAGTGTTTACTTAAAACTTGTGGTTCAACTTAAAAAAATTGATAATAGTAGTATTGAAGGAAATGCTGTTGGTGTAGCAAATAATATATTGCATTCTATATTTAGAAGCTCATCGGTATATTTAAATAATACTTTGGTTTCCCAAAGCGACAATAATTATCATTATAGATCATATTTGCAAACAATTTTAAACTATGGTTGTGATGCAAGTGAAAGTCATTTAGCAACACAAGGATATTTCCCAAATTAAGGTACCCAAACACCATTTAAAAGTGATGGCAGTCAAATTCTTAAAAATATGTTTCAAAATAGTAATAAAGTAGAATTATTTGGAAAAGTTCATGGAGATATTTTCAACCAACCAAAACTGCTTGTAAATAATGTTGATTTGCGCATTACTTTTAATATTGAAAAAACAGCATTTTATTTATTGGAAACCGAAACTGAATCGAATCTAAAGATCTTGGAAGCCCAGCTGTTCATGAATCATGTAGTAGTCAACCCCAGCATTTTATTAGCTCATCATTACGTTTTACAATAAAAAAATGCAATATACCCATATAATAAAGTTGAAGTAAAATCATTTACAATATACCCATGAAATAATACATTATCCATCGATAATGCAGTTATTGGTCAAATTCCAAATTTTTTGGCCTTTTGTATGGTAAAAAACAGAGCATATTCAGGAAATCGAGGACTAGATCCTTTTAATTTTGAAAACTTTAAAATACAACGATTCAATCTGTTAGTTAATGGAGTACAGGTACCTTCTCAGGCACTTGAATTTGATTTCTCGAATCCTACCAATACCCAAAGTTCAAGAGCATATAATTTACTATTTAAAGCATGTGGAATTAAGCATTATGATCGTGGTCTCCAAATTTCCAAGGATATGTTTGACAAAAATAATTTTCTATAAGCGTTTGATTTAACTGCTGATCACTCCAATTCTAGTGTTTGCGCTAACCTGATTTCTCAAGGAACGATCAGAATAGAAGGAAGATTCTCTGAGCCTCTGGCTGAGGCTGTTACTTGCATTGTTTATTGTGAATATGACTCTATGATTGATATTGATAAGCATCGAAATATTCGAGTACTTTTGTAAAAATGAATACAATACAAATCATGGACTTGCTCTCAAAGCATCCTCAAACTAAAAAAATATTTAAAGGGGGTTTTTCGGCCGATAAACTACCAAAAGAAATTCGTGAATATCCTGCATTGATTGTAGCTAACACTGATTATTCATACCAACCAGGAATGCATTGGGTTGCATTTTACTTCTATAAAAAAAAGTCAGCAGAATTTTTCGATTCTTATGGACAATATCCTCAGAAAAGAGAATTTATTGGATTTTTAAAAAGAAATGCATCAAAATATACTTATAACAAGCAACAATTACAAGGATACTTTTCAAATACCTGTGGACATTACTGCATGCTTTTTGGTCTTTACAAAAGCAATCGAAAAACTTTAAAGAGTTTCATACAGAATTTTAAGATAAAAGATTTCACCTTTAATGATAAGTTAATTTCTAAAATGTTAAGTAAATGTTTTAAATGATTTTTTTTTTTTTTTTTAATGTTTTATTTCAACCCAATATGAAAAAATAAACAGTATTATATATAATATCTATACAAAATTTTCTTTATTTTCATGGATTTGGATACATTCTTTAAGTTATTTTATAGTATCTTAACATAATATCCGTAGCTTCCTTTATATATAGAGGAAGTTTGTTGCAATTACAAGTGTATATATACATATATATATATTATATATATATATATATACATATATACACAAAGGCGAGTGAATTATTAAAAAGTATAAAAGAGCGGGATCACTGATTAAGTTGATTAGTACCTAACAGTAACCTTTTTGGAACGAAACCAGGAATACAAGAGTTATATATGATGGTATGTATACAAATTCTTACAACCAATAAGAAAAAAATAGTCTTACTTATATTCATGTACATCGAAGTCTTTCTTAGATACTCTGAATGATCAAAAGCCTGTTATTGGCTACAAGAAGACCTATGTATTAATTTCGAATACAAGATCATTGGCTGTAAGATAAAGAAAACCACATATGGGACGAAAATAGCCCCTTATTTGACTGATAAGGACGACGAACCACTCTGGATATTTTTACCAAAGAGCTACGTGAATAAATTTTCAACTAAAACACCATTTAAGAAATTGAAGGAAAATGGAATAACACATCTTGTATATAAAGGAAAAGAGATGACTAGATATAGCTCAGCCTATTTACAATTTATCTCAAAGGATAAATATAAACTGTATAAAAGAGTCGATTCCTTATAATGTTTTATCAGTTTCACTTTTTCCATTAAATCAAAAACAACTCCTCTCTCAAGCCTCTCTATGTACGCGCATCAAATAAAATTATTTTTACTTCAATTTGAAGATATGCTTTTCGAGGAGCACCTTAAAAAACTTCAATTTTTAAAAACAACTTTAGAGGATTTAGAAGAAAAGGAAATGCTGTACTCGAAATATGGCTTCCACCACAAAATATGTCCCTGGAGTGATGATGAAGCAACCGAAGGTCCAGACACTTGTAATTGCAACAAACTTCCTCTATATATAACGGAAGCTACGGATATTATGTTAAGATACTATAAAATAACTTAAAGAATGTATCCAAATCCATGAAAATAAAGAAAATTTTGTATAGATATTATATATAATACTGTTTATTTTTTCATATTGGGTTGAAATAAAACATTAAAAAAAAAAAAAAATCATTTAAAACATTTACTAAACATTTTAGAAATTAACTTATCATTATAGGTGAAATCTTTTATCTTAAAATTCTGTATGAAACTCTTTAAAGTTTTTCGATTGCTTTTGTAAAGACCAAAAAGCATGCAGTAATGTCCACAGGTATTTGAAAAGTATCCTTGTAATTGTTGCTTGTTATAAGTATATTTTGATGCAATTCTTTTTAAAAATGCAATAAATTCTTTTTTCTGAGGATATTGTCCATAAGAATCGAAAAATTCTGCTGACTTTTTGTTATAGAAGTAAAATGCAACCCAATGCATTCCTGGTTGGTATGAATAATCAGTGTTAGCTACAATCAATGCAGGATATTCACGAATTTCTTTTGGTAGTTTATCGGCCGAAAAAACCCCTTTAAATATTTTTTTAGTTTGAGGATGCTTTGAGAGCAAGTCCATGATTTGTATTGTATTCATTTTTACAAAAGTACTCGAATATTTCGATGCTTATCAATATCAATCA